AAAACTACAAGCCAAATTAGTTAGGATGCAAAATCTGAATGCAAGAAATTTGAATGCAAGTTGTGTAGGCATAATAAAAATTAAAGACAAATAGCTAGTCAAGCCCCCTCCCTCCATAATCAAGCTTGTAGCTTAAGCTAAAACCTTATCCAAATTCAGCATCAACTGGAAATTACTAACCAAACAGGTAATAAAGAAAGGAGAAAAAGCAAAGGATATTGATGGCATTTTGAAATGCAGAAACGTAGAAGGAAGGCCTTGATGGAAAGAGTCTTTCAGTGGGGAAAATATTTAGACTCCCCAGATTTAAGAAGAACAAGGAGTTTAAAAAACAGATTAAAAGCAAAAGATAATGCCAGCAATGACAGACAGAAATTGCAAAACTGGTAGTAATGTTGATGCAGAAAAGGCTGAAATAGTTACCTATTAATTCTGCAAGTAGGAGAGGGGTGGAAAGGAATTTATTTTGGATAAGGTGGCAAGCTATCTTCCAGTGCATTAGGAAATAGCTTCTTAAATTCAGCAGTGTCGTCTTCTGCCTGAGAGCTGTGCCAAGCCTTCCTGCAAAGAGCAATACCGGTCTGTAATGCATGGTTGGGCTGTTGGTAAGCTGAGAACCCCAGGGCCATATCCCTCTGACCTCGGCTGGGAGCGGGATGTGGGATGGAGGAGAAAGGGGGTGGAGGCAAAAAGGGGCACTGCAGCCTTGCTCTCTGGCCCTGGACCGCTGGCTGTGGCTGCAAGCTGTGACTGCCAAGGGAGTGTTAAAAATCTGCCAAAAAGCCACACAATAAATGGCAAAACTGCATCTGAGTGAGAAACTTTCAGAGAGGAGTTTATTCCTGTCATCACAAAGGAGATTCAGAGGCACCTTGATTTCTGTGTGAAGGATGGAAACAGTCCCTGCTAAATCTTTCTCCAGGTAGCAGAGAAAGCCATTACAAGAGTTCAAGGAGGAGAACTCAAACCAGACCAAATGAGAGAGCTGGCACAAAGTGTTAGGAGTGAGGGTGAATAAATTACTTAAAGAGGTAGTGGATGGCTCTGTTTCCTGATGTTTTCATTGGCTTTGGTGAGGAGAGATTTCTCACCACCAACTGCAGTCAGCTGAGTCACTCAGCCAGTCTCTTTAACCTCTCCCTGGTCCATGGAGAAAGATAAAAACTCCTGCAGGGGATGATTCAGTGCACCCAAATTAAGCATCTGCTTTGAATTGCCTTCCGAAAGCACCCATCTCTCTTCCACTCTTCCCCTGCCACCATTACAGAGGAATTCCAGGGAGACAAGGTGTGTGCCAGGTAAGGGACTGGGGAGCACAGAGGTCCTACCTATCCCCTATGGACAAATCAGTGCAATAGGTTCTCTCTTAGGGTTAGGAGTCAGGCACCGGTGCAAATGATGCATACGTGCAGATCCAGCAATGACCTATAAAATTCAGACCCTGAATAGAGCACTTGCCCCACACAGGTGACAAAAAAGCATAGGGTTGAATACATTTATAAAGTACTTGTTCAGTATTACAGACAGGCAACTAAACCAACTCCCAGTTTCCTCATAGCTCACAAATGGCTCCTATCATAGACAAAGTGAAAAGTCCTAAAGCTATCAGTACCCACAGTAAAGAGTCTTCTAATCACTATAGCAGAGAGAATTTTTGCACCAAAAATCTTGAGTTGAACACAGCAAGGTCTACCTGCAGGTACTTGTACCAGGTCAAAAATGGACTGTGGATTTGTCTGTGTTTTCTTTTGCTTTCAGAAGTGAAGCAAAAATACATGGTTTTTTTTTCTCTTATTAGCTCTCCACCAGGAATGGTCATTTTTGTCCACCTCTGCAAACACCTGTATTTCTTCCTTTAGATTGTTTGCCAGATGCCTTTTAATTTATTCCTCCTGTTAAAGTGCCATTTACCAGGTGTCTTCTTCAAAACTGCTTGCTAGAGATTTGCAATCCATCACTGAGGCTGGTGAAGGAGTCACAAGAGGGCAGCTTCCCAGCTACTGACTGCCCAGGTAAAGCCTGAAAACCTTAGCGGGCCACACAGAGTATGAGCCACACTGAGGAGCTTGGGTGTCTGTGGCTCACATGGAGTGGAAGTGAGCCCAGATACTTCAAGTTGTAGATTGTTTTCTGTAATGAACACCTGCACATCGCAGTCAGGAGGCGCCCGTTTTACGTGTAGTGCTTGGAAAGGTGGCCCTGCTCATTCCTTTCCTCCAGTCTACACTCACTGCTTGTAAATCTCCTTTTCTTGAGTTGCACTTTACTAGTATGAAGTATGCAGCTAAAGGTGAATGGCTTTGTCTCCATGCTAAAATCTCCCTGATTTTACTCCGATCCATTTCTATACTGGTTGAGCTAAACCACAGAAAACTCCAGTGGGAACACTTCTTCTTTGGCTGATTTTTGCTTAGCCCATCCAGATTCCCAGCCAATTAGAGCTACACTGAAATAAGCATAGTGTAAATCCACGCTAAGAGATTGCAATTGGAGATTGCTCTCCTTCAACTAAAGTGGTTTACTGGACTAGAAATGGTCATTCATGGGAAAAAAAAAAAGCAATGTATTCCTATGTACACACAGAGCGGAGAGCTGCAAAAACATTTTGTCTCTCATTCTTAGTCCCTCATTAAAGGCCACACATTGATTATTTATTTCTTTCTAATTTAGCAACAGCAGTAATAGAAATTGCCTCTTTGACCCAAGGCAGTTGCCAAACGTTTAGTTCAGAACCAATTTCAGTGCTACTGTAATCCCCTGAACTGGAGAGCTGGAGCAGAAGTAAAGCTGAGCCAACCTGAAACTGTAGCTGTGCGAATGGCGCCAATCTAATTAAGTTATGAAAAACTGTCCCTCTGGAGATGAGTCTCCTGCAGCTCACAAGCAGAAAGGTGGAGAACATGTGAATCTGGCCACAAGCCTCAGCTGTTGACAACCCAACTTACAAAGCATCTGTACACATGCCCTTTGGGAAGAAAGATAAGTGGTACTCGGGGGAACCACACATTTGGTTAACTCTTTGTTCCGTACTCATCCAGGCAAGGAGAAAATGTTTCACATTATGCTGAATACCATCTCAGATTCTGGCAGGATTACTTGTCAATATTATTGCAGCCTCTTCAGTTACAGTGCTTCAGCAATAAAGTAGTTAGACTGGCTTTGAAATACAGAAATTCAGGCAATACAATCGCGCTATGAAAGAGTGCTCATTAGCCTTTGGCTGACCTTGAAAAATTGCGTTTCTCTCCAATTCTTCCACAAATTGCTTTAAGGAGACCTCCTTAGCTCTACCAAGTCACAAGGTTCGACTGTGTGACTCATGGTTTTTAGCCACTCTCTCACGATCACAAGGCATGCTTGCCTTTTACACGCAGCCACAATTGCTACAAGGATACATAAAAATGCACCGACGGCCTTATTAATAGTGGCATGTTCTTATTTGTTTGGGACTTTTTTTTCCAACCTCAAAAGTTTCATAATGAAACAGTTGGTCTTATAAAAAGTGTCACTCATCAAGTCAAATTTTATGGCTAGGTCACTGTAAGGACTTCGTCAGACTGTGACTGGGCACAATAAAGTTTTGTAGATGTGGAAGCTGAATTAAGTGTAATCAGATACGTCTGGGGGCATAAGCTGGCTCTCAAAGGGATGCGTTCTCTTGTTTGAGACAAATAGCATCACTACGTTTCCTCCAGTATCTGACCGTTGCTGGACACAGGCCATCAAATATGTTGAACCAGTAGGTCGCCCCATATCCTGAGTCTATACCTCTGCTATCAACAGCCCCTGCAGCTGCAGAGGAGCCCTCCAGCACTGCCCTTGGACAAAGGAGGAAAGCTCAGCTCGAGGTGCTCCTTGCCCCAGTGTAACAACTTTCGACACCTTCATGGTGAAGGTCTCGGATGTACATGTACTGTCTTCAGCAGAACTTGGCACCGCCATGCAACACCTGAAATGATTACCTGCCTGCAGTGATGCTGGAGCCAAAGGCTGCTCAGCTATTCTGTTTCTCTTGCACAGCAGATGATGGGACAGAGCAGTGTCGGAGATAAGGAAAAGCCTTGCCTGAAGGAACTGTGGCTTCAGTGGCACAGCTCACCCAAGGAGCTGGAGCCTGTCTGAGGAGCTCACCACAGCTGGCACAGATCATGCCACATCTGCAATGCCACGGCCGCAGTGCTGTTAATCAGCACCACTGCTGAGAACAGCCTCTCTCCATTGGCATCGCACTGCTCACCTCTCCCCACTGGAGGATCACTGTCAGCATCCCTGCAGGAGTGGTCCCTCTTCCATGTACTCAGGCTATGCAGGAGCGTATGCTGGTGGATGAAGCAGATGCACAGGTCTAATTCCACCCAAAAGAGGGCAGTGGTGCTTGCGGATACACAGGCACACAGGGAAGACAGTAGTTCACTCTCCAGCTGCTCGACTTTCCTAACCAGCTGACAGAAACTCTCCCCAGCTCTTGGCACAGGCAGAGCAGTCCACAGAGCTCTCTCTTTCACACACTCTTAGTTAGCCTCTGCTCTCACTTCCTCTCTTTGACTCATTAGCTGTTTTACCATCATTTCTCTTGAAATTCAATGGAAGAAGTCACATGAACCCATCCATGCCAGTGCTGAGTGCCCTGTACCAGGTGCCTCTGTGTCACCCCCATCTATCAGTTACTTGGCTGCCAGCTGGTACATGTCTTCTGCAGAAGCAGCTTTTCAGATGAGCTGTGGCTTGGGCGTAGCCGGGAATGGAAAATTGGATGGACCGCAGTTGATGGCAATCAGGCAATGTTCAGAAGCTTGATGTCACAGGAAACCACTGATACTGCAAATAATTCAGGGCAATTAAAAAAATCCCCAATACACTGACTGTTTCCCCCCTGTTCCAGGGGCTATGTATTTTCCAGTAGTGTGCTTGCCCAATGCCTATGCTCTCACCTTCAGCAGGTGCCGTTCACAAAACAGCATGATCCAACCCGAGTACCCACCGTTAACGCTTGTACTTACCATGGTCCTCCCTCAGCCACAGGGCTGTGTGGGTTTCCATGGTTGAAAGCCAGCACAGGTCACAGCCTTGAAGTGTGGAGAGACGCTTGCTTTATTTCCCAGCATCAGAGGGTTTCTCAACCTGGCAACTTCTGCTGTCTTGAGGTTGTTCAGTTAATGCTGTTTTCTTGGCTCCCACACTAAAAACACCAGACATAATAGCAGCAGCCAAGGTATTAACAACAAAAACAGCAGCAAAGACAATAGCAACACAAGTGTAGCTCATAAGCTTAGCTTTGTTTAATGGTACAGGATCTGCACAGCTCCTGGGAGCTAGACCCAGAGCAGAAACTGCAGCCAACTTTCCCTCCTCTACTGCTCTTGATGGTTGGGAATGACCCTTCTCCAGACCAGAACAGCCTTTACTCCTGAGTGAAATGAAACAGTGGCCCCAGCTCGCCGTGGCAAACATGGGCCTGGAGGTCTGGTTTCTTACACAAGCATGTTTGTACAGAATTTTTTGCTGTAGATGTTGCCTTTACACAGGCTGGGTTGATAGCATTGCACATACGCTATCTGACAGGATAGCATATGCTATCCTGTGCCTCCACGTGGCATTATGCCCCTTCACTGGGTTTCCAGACAGGAAGAGATTACTCTGCCACTGCCTGTGCCAACAGGTTGAAGGCTCTGTGTTAGAAGAAACCTAAAGTTCTCCTTCAGGTTAAATGCTGAGACCAGCCCTCCTGGGTGGGAAAAGCCTCGTTAGGGGACAGAGAACTGATAGAGGACCCAATAGTGCAGGGTCAGGTCCTTCAATCACAGATGCACCTGCCCGGAAATGATCTGATTGTAGTGCATGTAACCCACTTGTTTCTTCAACACCTAAGTAATGCCTTTACAGGGCGAAATCCATGTAAGTAGACTTAGCATGGGCTTGTGGCACTTCTGGGGTACCTGGCAGAACCTCAGGCATTGGCTTGGGCTGGGATATGCCCTCTGCTGGCACGTATAAGGACACCCTAAGGCATTTAAAATGTGACACTATTCTTGCATTTGAGCTAGTTTGTCATCAAAGTAAAAAGCAAAGGTTTATCCCACTTCCTGCACAACCCCTCCTCTCCTGAGGCTGCCTGGACACACATCTTTCTAAGTTAAACACTACAAATGTATTTGTCTCTTCAAGGGGAAAACCAGGCTTGTACCCTCAGAGCAAGACCTAATGCCCTTAGTGGCACACGGTGCAGACAGCTGAGGGGGTACCTCTGCTCAGTGTGGATCAGTATGGTTAAGACTAGTGTGACTCTTGAAAGAAAAGCCAGATTACTAGTACTGCACCCAATACAAGAAGTCCTGGTCCCCAGTGGCTCTGAGTTACTCCAGGCTTTGGAGCTGGTGGTGGAGTCAGTAACTCAGGCATCCATTGCATGATGATCTGCTCTCAAATGCATGTTCTACTTGGTGGCATTTACCAATAGGCATTTGCAGGTATAACTTCAGTTTGGCCTGCAGCTTTAAGATTTCTATAGGCAAAACCCTGTTTGCTTTTATTTCAGATTGTTAAGTGCATATGGTTAGGTGCAATTACTCTCCACTGAGGTGACAGAACCAGGGCTAGGAGCCTCATAAAAAGTACAATGCCATAAGGAAAACCTGGGCCTTCTTTGCCAAAGTTAGTGTAATGAGCGTTAGAAGATGAGCAATGTCAGTATTACTGCATTTGGGAAAATGCAAATATGAAATTCTTTCCCAGTGAATAGTGACAATACCGTGCTATGTAGAAATGTGGGGAATTAGGCAGTGTCATCCCATGTGATTTGTACATACTTTAGAGGGAATTAAATCCTTGTGAACCTATCCAGCTTTACAGATGTTGAGGCCTGATTTGGCTTGCTGATGTGCCAGTTTTACATGGAGGCAAATCCACTGAGACCTGTGGAGTCATTAAACACTGACAGAAGAAAGCGGAGACTCAGATGCTGCCACCCTACTTACCATGCCAAGAAACAGCATGCATTTCCCAAACATTTCATCCATTGAGCAATAGTAGCAGCACTGACAAGGTCTTCTGTGATCTGCTTTGCCCATCGCCTTACCCATGAGTCCAGGGTGGGACCACCTCCAGGATTAATAGGTCAGCAGTTTATCTGGACCTATTCTGGTTTGGGCCTCCTTGAAGCATTACAAGGATGTCAGTATCTGTGTTCTGCCATTTGCACATCATCACAGCTCACAGGCTTTAAAAGGTCCTTTGCCATACCATTTGGTGCCCAGATTTCCCTTCCCTCTTAAATTACTGTCATATACTGCAACCACTTTAATGCTGAAGCTAATGCAGCACCCTCTCTGCTGAAAGGCTCCGTTTCCGGTATCCTAATTGTGATATACCCCATCATAATCATTATCACCCCCGTTGAGGGATTGCCTTCCCACCGCATATTGGGCCGTATGTTCTGGTCTACAGTGGTGGTACACCCCCGACCTTCCTCCTCATTTATGCTGGCGAGGAAGAAGTCAAGGCCAAAGCAATATTCTTTTAAGTAGGCCTTTTGGAATACGCAGCAAGCACCGACATTAGGGCTGCGAGCTTTCCCATCTGCGTGCCAAAAGGATTGCTGCATCATGCAAAGGAAGCAAGGCATGTAAGTTATGCTGTGCGCAAACCATTTTGAATGCCTTTGAGCAAGTGTCAGTTGGACCATTGACTTTCCACCCCCATCCATGGAGGGAGGGTGGAGCAGGCCAGACGGGGACAGGAATGTGATCTGTATTGTGCTGTTTCTGGGTTTACATGCCTACTGATTTTACTTATGCAACCACGTTGGGTATCCCCACCTCCTCACCCTTCTAATGAGCGGAAGAGTAGGCGTAGGGACACCAATGACACTGTCCAAGTGCATAAAGCTGTGTGTGCGCATGATGTGTGGAGGATCCAGGCTCCACTCCTGATTGATGCTCTTCCCTGGGAGCAATCTGGCAGCCCTGCAGCCCTGCAGCCAGGTGTTCATGCTAGCCCTTGCGAATGCAATCTTGCAATCTTCTCTCAGCCCTGGAATCAAGCCACGGGTGCTGGGAGAAAGGATTGAGTTTCCTTTTTGGGGGTTATTTTTTTGATGCTTTTCTATGAACCCACCCAATTTTGCAACACTGCAAAATGAAGGCTTTGCCTGTTGTTTTTTTTTTTTTCTGTGTGTCCTGCTGAGGGAAGGGACAGAAAAAACTGGGTGAGATAAAACAATGGAAATTGGAGTGGAATGGAGGAGTGTGAAAAACAAGAAGGTTGAGGTTATGAAAAGCCGGACCAGGCTTGGGAGAGAAAAACCCTTCTATGTATTTTGATATTGTCTTATGTTTGTGCTACGCTTACATCAAATACCAACCCAGTAGGTACAGAAAGCACAGGCAGGTAGAGTTGCTAGCAGAGCTTTTGTAAACTACTACTCAGCCTAAGGCACAACTCAGTGACCTCGCCTTTAGCTAAAAGCTATTAAATAAATTTAAGCATACATGTAAATTGAATTACCTTAGGGGAAAAACAAAAAAAAAAAGATGGGAAAAACCCAACCCTTGGATTAAAAATGACCGGAAAATCACATCAGGTAACCCTACAGAGCCTGGCAAACTCTGTAACTGCTTTGAGTTACTCCTGACCCTGACACTTCCCCATTCAGTGTGTGGTCCTTGGCTGGGGCAGCTGCGCCACTGATCTCAGTGCTGCCAGGCCTCCGGCTCACTTGCCTGTTCTCCCCTGTTGCGCTCTCTTTCATTATAATGGAGTAATACGGAGTAGTGGTTGGGAATTCAGCAAAAAACAAACTCAGAGGCTTTAATGTCTGACAGCCCTGACTGGAATGGAGCAGCGGTGCCTGATTCTTGTGGGGTGATGAGTACCTTCTCTTTATGGATTTTGTGCATGAGGGGCTCCTGAGAATCCCATGAGATGCCTATATCCTTCTTCACCACCAAAACCCGTTTTAAAACACAGCGTTCGTTTTCATGTTTTCATAACACCTCATTTGCAGGCATGTGATTAAACCTAATTAATGCTTGTAATCAATGAATGCCTAATTGCTGCTCATAAAAAAATGCTGGATAAATGCAGAGCACTGCTTGATTGAATGTTCTTTGATTGGCTAATGGATCACTCTATTACTCTTTTAGATTCTGCTTAAGCAGGCAAAATATCTGGGCTGGTGTAAAACAATCCTGCATTGATCTCTCCAGCCAAGTGGGGTCTTTCCAGTAATTAGAAGGGTGGTGACAGGAACAGACTTGGCTGTCTCTTCCTGGGGGACTGGAAAGAGTGGTGTTTTTTTTTGTTGTTTTTGGGTATTTTTTTTTTATTTTTAATTTGAAAGCTATGCAGCAAATAGCAAGGAGAAGACTGCTCAGATCTTTTGACTTTCAGCTGTAAAAAAATCATTTAGCATTCTCTGATAAGCCTCTTGATTTAAACAGAGAAGCAATTTCTGCTGCCTGGGAGTTCCAGTTGGGTAAGTCTGGCCCCAAAACTTCACAGGCTCAAATCTCTGGAACCAAATTCCAGGAAATGTTCATATGTGGATGATGCATCTGTAACAGATACGAAGGGGAGAGGGGAAGCATTTGGCAATTAGGAGCTGGAGTCATTTATAACTCCAGCTGGTACTTCTCTTTTTTCAGGTGAAATGTCTCGAGGGGAGGAGGAGAACCTGTCAATGGCATGTTTTGCACTATGTCTTGCCTCTTCTCCGTATTATGGCTTTCCCCCATGAACTCTTCCAAATGGGGCCGGCTTCATGAGCATGGAGAACTGGCACTAGATTGTGCTCTGCCCTCCATCACCCTCCACAAAGGCTGCTGAGGAGCAGCCTCACTGCTTTTCTATGGATTCCCACTAGTCAGTGTGCATGAGAGCAAACTAAGCCATTCACTTAGTGGGTGTTCAGAAAAAGAGGGACCACGTACTAGGAGTAGGTCCTATTTCCTTGTCTGACTGTGCCTTTCCAGATCCAGTGCTAAGCACCCACAGGACACAGATCCCAGCAGGTTTGGGGATAGAACAGAAGACCGCAGGGATCACCCGGCATCCTGCAGGCTCAATTCCACTGTGGAGATGTTGCTGATGCTCCATGCAGATCAGCAGTGAATCTTCTACATAGAAAGAAAAGGGCATCAAGAAAAGCAACAGAAATGTTAGCTGTAAAAAACTGATTTTCTG